TTCCCTGTCACCTTAGTTAATAAAGTGAAGCTGAGTAATTTTGCCTGAATTTCCATTTCTCTGGGTCATATTTGTTACAAACCAGGTCAGTGGTATTGTCTACATAATGGTGTACCTCATTGATGTCGAACCCAAGCACCCACCATTTTAGTTTCTTTCTCATAGAGTGGTTTAAGGTGCTACATAAACATCCCATAATATGTATTATTAGATCTAATCTTCTTGACGTATTAGTAACTGTAGTCTAGCCAGCAGTCATTTTTTTGAACTGTTTTCAGCATTGTTTGATAAAGTTGAAACTGCAACTTTCTCAAATTCTAGAGACATTTGTAGCATTGGGATTTTAAGCCAGTTCAATTCAATCCATTCAGTTTATTTGTATTAACTCAATTTACATAAGGAGTCTATAGCAGAACACCAAGAAAGCCTTCATCAGCCCAAACTCCAAGCTTTAAAAATAGGATTTCTAACAACTCTTCCTCGCTCTTCAAAGTTAACTTTAAAAATGGAGAAATCTATGACTACGAGTGTGTTAAGATTAGACAAACCTTGATCATTTAGAGCTGAGAGTCATTTACACCACTTTCAGAGTATTTTACATGTCAGAACATAAAATTGTCTGACGTTTGCCCGGTTAAATCTAAAGAAAAAAAAAAAAGATTAACGGCTCCCTTTGGGCCTGGGGCCAGTACCTATTTCACAAAACGAGCCATAAATACCTTGGTGTCTGGCTTACAACTGATAGAGGGATGGAATGGGTGACTGATAGGCAGAGTGAGGCCTCTTCTGCGGTAATGGAGGTGCTGCTCCTGTCCGTTGTTGAAAAATTACCTAAATTAATGTGCAACGCTTCTGACTTATCAATCCATCTATATTTTGACCGCAACACATGATTACACAATATGGATGATCAGCAAACACAGATGATGTAGCAGTGTCTTTCCCATCAGTTTTTCCCATCTCCATTTATTCCGAAAAAAAAAAAAAAAAAAAAATATATATATATATTTATATAAATCTCCACTCAGCTCCACACTTGTTGATGTTTATAGTGATTACTTTCTGCAAACTTGCAAGGTGATGGTGGCAAACATGATTTCCGAGGAAGAGGCATTGCTTGAATAACTATTAGAAGTTCAGCATGCATCATCTAAAACTGGGACCAAAGGTCTGGAGCTTATAATGGACAACAATTCTGCACGGCGCTGTGTGTGTTAGAGCGACGCTCATGCGGCGGGGCTCTATTTGTGGTATTTTCGGTGTGTTCATCCACAGCAAATAAAACATGTGGACAAAAGATTTGATGCTGTCTATTTGGTAACGGAGACAAAAACATAAAACTTAACGTGATCTTTTTCTCTCTTTTTTATTTTCTGAAACGAGTGCCTCGGCTTCCCACTTAGTTCCACTTTCCTGCCTCTTTTTTGCTGTTGCTTTTACTGACAGTTCTATTTAGGGAGTTGCAGTCCAGGGGAAAAGGGGTTACTCTATAGATGCTGCTCCGCGGTAGACTCTTAAACTACAAATCTAGACCAAGAAGTCCAAAAGCTAATTTCAAAGAACAAAACATGTCAACATTTTTGTCTCCCTCCTGAGATTAGAGAGTGTTTATTAGCCACCTTTGGGTCAAATGAATACAGAAGTAATAACATAAGGGCAAAATGTCTCGGAGTTGGAATGATTTTCACAAGGTCGGGAAACAAACACGAGGAGCCCACGGCCTCCACCCCAATTCACCACCTTTCTGGTTATCTTTAGCTCCTTGGATTGATGAGTTTTCTTCAGCCTGCTCAACCAAGTGTAAAATCCCTTGTAATACATTCCATTTTTAATTTGGGTCACAACCAGATGCTGCATACCAATGCCACTTTCACAAAGCTTCTCCAAACTTGGTCCTTTTTTTTTTCCTATTCCGCAGCATAAATCTACAAACAATCCCTCTCCTTGGCTGACATGAGCTTAGATTGCTCTAACCAGTCATTTTTTCTGTGCCCGTGTTTGTGTCTGTGTGTCTCACTACATTTTACATGTTCCTGTTTTTTTTTTTTTAATTAAAACTCTAGAATAAAAAAAACCAACTCTTTTTTTACTTTTGGTTTTTCATTTAAATATTTTTGAAGACTTCATTCTCTTTTTTTTTGTGGCTCAGGCAACGAGACAAGTGAAGTCATCAAAACACTAACTGATATGAAAGATGTTCATAATTTTTCATTATTCATTTTAAATATACTACTGGAAAAAACAAAAACATAGCTTAATAAAGCTATGTTTGTTTACTTTGATATTTTGTTTTGTATGTTCTGAACTGGGTGGTCGTGGACAATCAAAGAAGTTAGTTATTGTAAAGACCTGTAAAATTAAAACTTTTTTTTTAAATCAGATATTATAGACAGTAACAACTGCAAAAGGCCAGCTAAAACCTGCTCCACTATTTACACCAATTAAGACAAGAAAGTTAGGGAACAAAGTAACGAGTTAGTATTTGAAATTTATTTGGTTTTCAAATGTACTTATCTAAGTTTTCTGTATTTTTTCACCACCTAAGCTTTTGGAAAGGCTCACTCATATCCAGGGATTTAGTCGCAAGTAGCAACATGTATGTGTCCATAAAAAAAAAAAAAATGAACATGTGTGTTTGAGGTTTGTAATCGTAACTGTGAGAAGAAGCGATATGCATTTAAATCCCTGGTAGTGTTTCACAAATCCATTCGGAGCACATGCAGAATTGCCTAGTCATCAGAATTTGTCGCCAGGGGGGATTTGAAGCATAGCCAAACTTTTGAACCTGCAGTTTTACATTTAGTGTGAATAATTTTAGTATATTTGTATAAAATAAAAAGGTTAACCAATAGCATATTGAAAGGTGTAATTATGCCACTAACTAATGGGGTCCAACAGGAGCTTCCCTCACTCTTTCCTCATCTGTTCCCCATGTTGCACTCTGTTCATTACTAGAAGTCTTTCTGAAGCACTTTGGAATCAATCATATTGGCAGAACAATTATTGTGCTGAAGCATGCCACCCCACTGGCCATCACCGCGCCTTAAAGCTACAGCAGAAATACAGATGCAGTCACACAACCCACTCAAAGTAATTCATATAATTAATTATCCTCAGCCTGACATGGTGATATCTGACCTCAGTTCTCCTGTACATCAGTAAATATCTGCCTGTGTTTAGGAACTTGTGAACGTTTGTGTACATCAGTAAGCTGTTGTCTTATCTTATTTCAGAAGTTGTTTTTTTGTTTGTTTCAAAATAACATGTGCCTTCAATATTCATTGTTATATACTTGCCAGCAATTCATAGGGCATGAAATGCCCTATGAACCACCTGACTATGAATAGTCAGATGGACCTTGGTACATATTCGTCTGATCCAGAGCTACCAACGAACAGAACCTGAACAAATTACAAGATCAGACCTATATACTACCTCCAAAGTATCCCATCAGCATCACCTAACCATACTTGTGACTGTTGTGCAGCTTTTACATCAGCTCTGTCCCTCAAGTCAATCGAGGCATTTTAATAACAAAACTCATTATACATAACTTCCTCCGTAGCATGCCATTTGGTATATTTCTTAACATTGACTTGGCCAAAAGACAAAAATATATTACTTTTTTTTTTAATGTCTAAATAACACTATGAGATTTTCTCTGGCCAAATAAAGTAGCAGAGAAGCTAAATCTCGCTTCAACAACAATGAGGGATGTTTGCCGATTCCTGTACACAACAACAACAACAAGGGATATTCTCCGAGGATCTTTCCTTCCCTTTTAAAACCTGCAAGTGATTTAGCGCGCTCTCGGACCTGTCATTGAGCTGAGATGCATAAAGAGACTTCATGCTGGCAAGCAGATGGAACAGAAGCGGGGAAAGAACGTAATGCTTTTGCTCAAGATAAAGCAAGTTAACAAAAAAGGAAAAGAGAGGGGAAAAAGTTTTTTTTTTATTTCTTTAAAACACAATTTCAGTTAATATCAGCAATAGATGTCAAAGCGATACTAGTACTTCATTTTGTTAACTTAAACTAATTACTAAAATAAATGAATCTGCATGAACACTGTTACTGCCAATCATTTAACCCTGGGTTGTTTTGGGCCTAAAACCAGTTGAGCTTTCTATCAATTAATGTACTTAATAATATTTATATATATATATATATATATATATATATATATATATATATATATATATATATACATACACACCACCAGGTAGATGTTGTTTTTTATTTGAGTAAGTCAAATCAGATAAATGCAATCAATATTCCAACTTTATTGACATTGCAAATTATGACTAAGGAAAATCCAAATAAGTATTTAGGACCAAACATTGATGGCACATTGAATGCCCCAGTGGTCACTGGGGGAGAGGTGGGGATCACTCTGGGTAGGTCATTCGACAGGTCATTAGTCCGTCCCAGAGTAACTTGAATGGACACAGGACAGACAACCATGCACACAATCACACTTACTGACAATTTAGAGTCAAATCAACTTAACAGCCATGGTTTTTTTTGTTTTTTGTTTTTTAAACTGGGGGAGGGAGAAGCCAAAGGGATCCCACCTATACGTAGGGAAAACTCCGGCAAACTCAGGCCGGAATGTAAAGTCATGGCGTTCTCGAATTTATTGTGGATAGTCTCTAATCCCCTCTTGTGAGAATAATATATATACAGGGTCAAATTAATCTATGCATACACCCGTGTTAATATTCAGTTAAATGTTTCCCAACAGAGCGCCTTGACTACACAGTATTTGTTTAGCTTGTCCTTCAGAAGTCTCAAGGACAAGCTGGAAGTGTGGAAGCGTGAGTCCACAGTCTGAAGACCCAGAGCTTTGAATCCCAAAAGATAAGAGAGCAGGATGGGGGGGCTGCAGGGTATGATGCACGCACAAATCCTGTTTACCCTGTGCACTGCAAACTTCATCATCAATTTTGCCACACTGCCACTTCCATTTTTTCTTTTTTTTTACTTTTTTCTGAAGACACTTCCATTGTCGGCTTTTTCACAGATGAGGGCCACACGCGGTACAGACTGTGGAAACAGGATTTTGTGGACCACTGCCAGCAGAACCATCTACAGATTATTTGCGGGGAAAACTCCAGAGCTAATGGGGGACTTCTGCAGGCACAGACACACTGCAATGTCACCGAGGAACATCCCAGAG